AGAAGAATAACATTGAAATTCTATTGTGAATGCTTTCTGAACATCTACAGATTATTCATAGAGATTTGAGATTAGTTTGTGGCTAATGAAGAAAAGAAATATAAAAGAACATTTTGAAATGATTAAACACATTATAAAAGAAATATTAAAATATCTTTTGAGAAGCTAATCTTCCCGTATAAGTTGATTGAAAAAATGATTATTTTTTCAAGTTGTTAAACGCAGAACTTATCCGCAAGTAAGACGATTCCAGTGGTAATGCTTTTTACTCGAGTTTCAAACGTTGGTTTTGAATTTCTCAAGGCGGACATAGGTCGGGGATGGGGCAGGGGCAGTGTATGCCGCTCGAGTTCACGAGTTTCTGTGGAATCAGCACGGGAATTTTCTGATTACAGTCGCATATCAGCAGCAGACTTTCATTACGACGGATCAGTCGGCGTTTCAGCGTGCCGGAGCGACAGGACAATACACAATCACGGGGCAGCCCTCGCCCTTGCCGCCGGTCGCCGCGCAAACGGTACCGTCGACGGCTCAGAGGCCACTAAACGGTCAATTCATGGATCCCGCTGCCGCAGCGTCCCAATCAGTTGGTTATGAAAGGCAGGATTACGTGAATGGCTACCAACAACAGGTACGATTGCCTGAGAATCGCTTTTTAATTGAAACAAAAAAATGGTCCTTCATAAAATATGCTGCGCCACGTGCACGGTGTTCCAGGATTACGTAGTCACGCTGAATATTGATCACTAAACTGCAACCACAGGGATCAGATGTACATAATGATAGTAATCACAACTTACTGTAACAGCAAACAATTTTTTTAAATTATCGTAGTTCGATAACGTCCTTTCATGAAATTAAGCGAAGGAATAAATTGAATTAATTGATTCAGTGAACTCAGAATGTAGATATTTTTTGAAGAAGCACCTTGTACGCGCAGCCTATCTTATAAAGACGAATTGCTTGTATCCAAACTTTCAAACAATGTTTGGATAATTACAAGTGACGAATGATACTGCAACTCGGAATACCGATTTTAAGTTATAGACCTGGAATGATGATCTTTCCAGGACGTGACGATGGCGCCGCCGCCATCGACCACTCCGACGAGTCGCAGCAGCTCGGTGCACATGGACAACCAGCAGCAACAGCAACAGCAGCAGCAAGCCTCGCAGCAGCAGCAGCAATCCCAGCCTCCTCAACCCCAAACCGACACACAGGTGAAAGGGTTCGCGACCATCGCTGCCAGTAATGTGTCGGGAAACGAGATGCCTGGGTATCCACTTCAACCGGGCCCACAGAGTTTACACAACTCTAACGGATATCCAGGCTACGTGGAAATGG